GCTTTTGTTTTCTTTCTTTCCCTCCCTTTCAGGCTTGGCTGTAGCTGCTTTCATAAGGAATCACACATTGTTTTCCATGTGAAGAAGCCAGCCCACTGCCCACTATATTCTTGGCCCTCAGGACAGATTCCTCAATTAAGGCCATAAGAGACTAGATTCTCCCATTCTGCTTTCCAGCCCTGCATGTCAGTTGGCTACTTTGTATATTTATGTAGTGTTTCAATACAGACTTGTAGCTATCTTTTATTGCCTGCCACTGTGCTCCAGGCACTCTGCCTGTCATTCTCTGTGAGCTTTCTTTCTTCCTCCCAAGAACTCTAGAAATTAGATTTTTTATTGTTTTCATTCTAACAAAAATAGAAGTAAAGACTGGAGATGTACCAGAGAGCTGGTTCAGCATACTAGGTCCTTTTGGCTTTTGCATTCTCTCTGCTCTGTTGTACTGCTTTTCAGAGGCAGGGGTGAAAACCAGAGAACAAGTTCAAACCTCAGAGTGTTGGGCTTTGAAACATTAACATTTTCCTACTCCATCCCTCCGTTTGTTTAGAGTCTTCAAAGCCATGGGAAAGATTTTGCCAGATGGTGAGCAGGACAAGCTACTGCGGGCCTGTTCCATTTATATTCAGAATGAAAAAGATGTGTCAACAAAGGCAAGCGGAGGTTCTTCCTCCAATGAGAAAAGTCCATACACACTGGACACCTTACATCAGAACCTACACCAATCAAGTGCCAATTGTGAGTCTGAAGAAAATATTCAACAGAAGGAGCAAAGCAGCCCTAAGACTGTCAAGGAAGGGGAGGAAAAGGAGAAGGAGGAGGAGCAGGAGGAGGAGCAGGAAGAGGATGAGGACGAGGAGATAAACGTCTTTCAAGATCAGATGGATGAGGATATAGAGGAAAGTGATGACTTGGAAGAAGAGGAAGAAGGGGATGATGATGATGATAATGATGATGACAGAATGGAGATGGGGGGTTTCTCTTTCACACAGGGATCCAGTATTTTTGAGAATACTAGGATCATTTCTGAGACAAAAGAAGCTTTGAAGGGTTCAGCATGGCAAGTAAGCTCTGGTAAGTGGCCCTTAAACCCACTTTTATTTTCTTCTGAAATTGATTCCCTCCATTCTTGATTGGCCACTCCTCTACTTTCTGTCTCCCTCTGTCTCTTCCTCCACTTCTCTTAAGATGGAATGTCACAA